TTATTTTACAGAAGTTCTATATGTGTGCATAAAAGGATTTCTATGCTAGTTGACATCCTCCAATTATCTTATTTTGCCACTTTGGTATTCTCCAATGTCTTTTCATAGAAATACATAGTTGATTACTTTTGTGTGCCTCACTGTAGAGAAAAAAAACCTCCCTATGAATTATTTAAAATGCATCTTTGCCATAATTTAAGGTTACTTGCAAAGAGCATTTTAACATACTTGTAAAAAACAATCAACAGTGGTTGAGTTAAAATAATAATTAAGCTTAATACGTTTTAAATTGAAGGTACCTGCAGATCTGTGATGTTTTAAAGTTGTAGTTAGCAGCCACAATTTATTTAATGTCAGAATAACTGGCTTTAAAGATCACTAGGATGTCAAGTTAACAAAAAATTTACTGTTGTAACCATGGCTGTTATTTGAATGCATTCTTGTCTGTCAACATACTCTTTACTTTCATTTGTGTGAACCTACAGTCTATTACTTTGTGGTAAAACATTTTTTAAAGAGCACTTTCAAGTGAATCAGTTTTCGAACACTGTCTCTTCAGTTGTCATAAATCCTTGAGCTACTGCTTGCCATTATGTTTATTATAAAAAGAAAACTTATATATTCAATGCACATGCTTGAAAATTTAATGAATTGCCCACTTATTGGGTTCCACCACAAAACCGCGGTAGACTAAAGCGCGCTCGACGAAAGCGCATATGTGACGTCATCACAGCGCAACAAAAACAGCACGCTGTGAGCGGTAAAGTTAAAATTAATGGGTAAATCTAAACCTAACCCCCCCCAAACCTAACCCTAAACCTAACCCTAAGCCTAACCCTTAACCTAACGCTAAACCTAACCCTATACCTAACCCTTAACCTAACGCTAAACCTAACGCTAACCCTTAACCTAACCCTAAACCTAACCCTAACGCTTAACGTAACCCTAAACCTAACCCTAACCCTTAACCTAACCCTAACCCTAAACCTAAACCTAAACCTAACCCTTACCTTTATGTGAATCGGCTTGCTTTAAAAGCGCTTTTTAAAGCACCCTTTTTTTCTCCGCGGTCGTATTTGTCACGCTGCTGATGACGTCAGGTACGCGCTTTAATCGGGCGCGCTTTAGTGGACCGCGGTTTTGACGGGTCACGACTTATTGGATAGTTCTATGTACAAAAGAAATGGGGAAGTTTGTTTCCCCCCACCAGTCATCTTGTATGCCCACATTGCATGGCAATTGAAATTATATGGTGATGGGTAGGATTAATGGACAAGTGGCATTTGGGAGTGGCCTGGAATTTCATCCCTGTTCCTCATTGTATGCCTAATATCTGCATACAAGTAGTGCAGAATGATTACTCAATACAGATGATTTATGTATATGTGGATATATAAAGATATAGATGATATAGATATACAGATGTGGGCTATTTGGTGAAGTGGTTAAGGCCTCAGGCCATAAAATGGAAAATAATGTCCTGCTTTAGGCACAAAACCAGCTGGGCCAGTCACTCTCTTTCTCGCTCTCAGCCCTAGAAAGAATGCAGTGACAAAGCATTTCCAAAACACCTTGCCAAGAAAAGGGGACTTCTCCAGGCGCTCACCAGGAATCAAGACCAACTAGATTACTAGAAGACACTCTCTCTCTCTCTCTCTCTCTCTCTCTCTCTCTCACACACACACACACATATTGCACTTGATACAGAGATGATAGTGATATCTAGATCATGGGTTTTCAATCCCTAGGCCACGGCCCATGTCTGGGACTTGAGCCATTTGGAACTGGGCCGCAGAAGTGATGGGCAAGTGCATACACACATATGCACATGCCCATTTACAAAAACAACAGGCAACTGCATGTATGTGCACTCCATTTGCATGAGGGTGCCCGCCACTCACACAAATGGAGCTGAGTGAATACATGCTTGCCTGCCACTCTCGTAGAACCACCCCCTCTCCCCACTCTCACCAGTCCACAAAGTCACAAAGGTTGGGGAATTGTGATCTGAATGGATGGAGAGGGAGGGGGAGAGGGGAAGGGAGATGCATTTTCCTGAGTTGAGAAGGGCCATTGAGGCTAAGACCTGGTCATTTCAGGAAGTCAAATGAAAGCAATCCAGCCTCTGTTTAATGTCATGGTATGTTTGGACACATTATTAAAGTGAAGAGGCAAAATATATCTGCCAAAGTATTCAGTTATTGAAGAAGTATTTGGACACATATTTTTCAGATCTTATTGGGAAATCTATCAAATTTCTTTATAGTTCTGGCTGGATTGCAAAGATTGCACTTAAAACTTTTCGGATTTAGAGGTTTACAGGGAAGTACACTAGGTAGTTAATGATGCTGTTCATAAGACTGATGTCTTATTTTTCTCCACAGAAATTTTTGCATTTTCTTTTCTTCAGTCATCAGATGAAGACATATTTAAATGGTCTGTTATGACTTCCAAGCCATTGCAAACAATTCTGGTGTCATATGTGTCAGCTGATGGGTGTTTTATCTGAATTGGAGCAAACTTTTTCAGTTCACAATTAGCATTAGAATAATAGCACTCTATATTGAGAAACATATTTTATTTTTTTTATTCACTACCCCTAGTCTGCTGCTGAAAAAACTGGATGAAAATTGGTTTTATCAGCAATATAATTTTCAGAAATGCTGGAGCTACACAATGGAAAAAAATGGTTTTAGTTTTAAGGTGTTGCAAATAAGTACTTTCCATAAATGTCCACTGGGGAAGCAAAGGCACAAATGATAAAATGTGCATCACAGTGCAAACCACATGACTTTCCAATTTAGCTCTGGTGCCAGGACGCAAATGTGACAGGATGTGGTTTGTCACGATGCACATTTTGACATATCAACGTTGTCGCAGTAAGTATAAACTCTGCTATTAGTTGCACTGTACTGCATGACTAGATTTCCAATTGCAGAAGAGGATGATTTACTTTATATAATCTGGGGAAATCTCTCAGATAGTGTGTAGTTTAGATTTCAAAAATTCCTTCTTTAATTCTGGAGTTGATAAATGGGATCATTATAAATGGCAGTGCTATTTCTAAAAGAAAGAAAGGAAGGAAGGAAGGAAGGGAGGGAGGAAGGAAGGAAGAAAGAAAGAAAGAAAGAAAGAAAGAAAGAAAGAAGGGAGGGAGGGAGGGAGAAAGAGAGAGGGTGGGAGGGATGGGAGAGAAAGAAAGAAAGGAAGAAAGGAAGGAAGGAAGGAAGGAGGGAAGGAGGGAAGGAAGGAAGGAAGATAAGTAAGATGAGCATGAGTGTGGGATTAAACATGTCATCAGTTTGGAATCACTGTGCAGCCACAAGACACCCAAGTCTTCCCATGAATTCTGTTGATCCTTATCTAGGGCCAATAGGAGATCAGATTTCTGTATATAGCTAGCATGTAATAAACTTTTAGTGCTTTGAACTCAACTCTTGTTCCTAGTTACTTATGCCCAATAGCAAGCAAACAAGCAAGCAAATAAGCAAGAAGCTATCTGTGTTTCATTTTTCCAAGATAGTGATTCAGACGTCCTGGCCTGTAGACATGCAGGGGAATGGGGTTAGGGAGTTGACAAGTGACAAAACATATGTCATGATGCAAACCAGATGACCTAAATACTTGTATTTGACATCAATACACTAGTAATTAAAAGACTGTGGTTCACATTGAGACACTGCATATTTAATCATTTTTGTATCATTGCAGTTTGAATCTGGCCTCTTTGTGTTGATTCAAATCTGCTTCCAGCTTTTAAAAATAAAGAATTTGAAATTATCTCCAGATTCAAGCTATCTGCTACTATAACTAATGCAAGTAATAATACTGAGGAATAATCCAGCGACTGCCTCTTCCATCATCAGACTCCTAATTTTAGAATTCTAACATGGTAATTTGTAGAAGTGCTGTGTTTCAGAAGAATCTACTTTGTAAGGGAAAGACATCTTGTTCTAATATGGAACATGAATGCTGAATGGAATGCATTATCTAATATAACTACAGTCTAAATCACATAATGTAAAACTAAGAATCCATGTGTAACTGTTACTATGCAACTTTTTGTATAAACTTAACAATTACCAAGGTTACAAGATAAAAATTGTCAATCCACATTGTTATTGTAGAGACAGGAAGAACAAACTTCAATATAATTGTGCATGATTGTTTAACAATAAAAAACATTACTCTTGACAGATCAAAAGATTGTTTAGGAATATATGGATTTTATTAATTATTAATTTGGAACATTAATAGATGTTTACTACACAATATATAAGCTGAATCTGTGAATCTCCCTTCTGTGCCCTTTTAGGCAGAACACCTTGACATATGTCAATAAATTGCACCATCTCAACTCCCCATTGAAGTCATATCTATTTATCTACTCTCATAGAGCATGCTTTCAAACTGCTAGAAGGACAAAAGCTTAGTCGAATAATTGGAGTTCACCCTGCTACACAGTACCAGGACTCAAACCACTGGAGCAAACACTATTTCCAGCATCATTAAGCCACTGAGCTATTGCAGCTCCTTTGATATATATGATTCTTCCTCAAATTCAAATGGGTTTTTCTGTGTCATTAATATGTTCATTAGTGCAATGTTTGGAATGGGATTTCAAATAGTAGCTGAGTGCATGTATGAGAGAATTACCTTGGAAGATAAGGTAAATAAAGAAAAGAGATGCCACCTAGGGAAAGATCAGATAAAAGAGGGAGGAGCTACAACTGAGTATTTTGCCAGGAAATGTACTTCAGTCTGGCTCAAAAGTTGTACACCCTCCTCACTGTATCGACGCTCTCCGAATCCAATGGTAATGTCCATTTTGCTGTACAACTTCATAGAGAGCGAACCTTAAGTGGAATTTTTGCAAATGGAATGTTCACATGTATTCTCCCAGGAAATGTACATAAGTCTGGCTCAAAAGTTGTACTGCCTTCTAACAACACTGACGGGCTCCAAATCCTATGGCAAGGTCTATTTCCCTCTACGAGTTCATGGAGAGCTATGAAGTTCATGAAGATGTAGAGCAAAATGGATATCACCATTGGACTCAGAACCCATCGGTATGGTTAGGAGGGTGTACAACTTTCAAACTGTAATTATGTACATTTTGTGGCAAAATACATGAGAAAATCCCATTCGCAAAAATTCCTCTTAGAGTTAGGGTTAGCTCTCCATGAAGTCGTAGAGCAAAATGGACATCGCCATTGGATTCAGACCGTGTCGGTATGTTTAAGAGGGTGTACAACTTTTGAACCAGACTTATGTACATTTCCTGGCAAAATACATGGGAAAATCCCATTCGCAAAAATTCCACTTAGGTTAGTGTTAGCTCTCCATGAACTCGTACAGGAAAATGAACCTTCACATAGGATTTGGAGCCCATGTGAATGATTAGGAGGGTGTTCGGTTTTTGAGCCAGAGTTACGTACATTTCCTGGCAAAATACATGGGACAATTCCAATTGCAAAATTTCCACTTAGGGTTAGGGTTAGCTCTCCATAAAGTCATAAAGTAAAATGGACCTCGCCATAGGATTTGGAGCCCATGTCTATGATTAGGGTCCCATTCGCAAAATTTCCACCTAGGGTTAGGGTTAGCTCTCCAAGTCATAGAGCAAAATGGACATCACCATTGGATTCAGAGCCCATTTGTATGGTTAAGTGGGTGTACAACTTTTGAGTTGGACTTATGTACATTTCCTGACAGAATACATGGGACAATTCCAATTGCAAAATTTCCACTTAGGGTTAGGGTTAGCTCTCCATAAAGTCATAAAGTAAAATGGACCTCGCCATAGGATTTGGAGCCCATGTCTATGATTAGGGTCCCATTCGCAAAATTTCCACCTAGGGTTAGGGTTAGCTCTCCAAGTCATAGAGCAAAATGGACATCACCATTGGATTCAGAGCCCATTTGTATGGTTAAGTGGGTGTACAACTTTTGAGTTGGACTTATGTACATTTCCTGACAGAATACATGGGAAAATCCTATTTGCCAAAATTCCAGTTAGGGTTAGGGTTAGCTCTGTGTTCTGATGCCCCCCTCCTCCGTCCAGTAACGAAAGCCGAGACAAGAGTAAATGAGAATGTTTTTTAATAGCAAGTCCAGACTCTCAGTGGCTGAAAGCCAAATAAACAAATAGATAAGGATGTTGGCAGCAAGTCCGACAAAACTTGGCAGCAATACCAACAAACTCTGGCTGCAAACCAGCCTGCCAAGTTCATTTCTCTTTAGTCCCAAATGTTGACTTCTGCAAGAAGGGTGTGGCACAAGCAGTCTCTTTTATAGTCTGGGAGAGGAGCTTAATGACCATCAGCTGAGCGTAATTGCCTCCTGTAATTACATAGTTGTTCTTGATGCCGAGTAGCCCTTCGACGAGCCTGTTGGTATGGTTAGGAGGGTGTACAACTTTTGAGCCGGACTTATGTACATTTCCTGGCTGAATACATGGGAAAATCCCATTTGCAAAATTTCCACTTAGGGTTAGGGTTAGCTCTCCATGAAGTTGTAGAGCAAAATGGACGTCGCCATTGGATTCAGACCCTGTCGGTATGTTTAGGAGGGGGTACAACTTTCGAACCGTACTTATGTACATTTCGTGGCAAAATTCATGGGAAAATCGCATTCGCAAAATTTCCACTTAGGCTTAGGGTTAGCTCTCCATGAAGTCGTAGACCAAAATGGACATCATCATAGGATTTGGAGCCCATGTCTATGATTAGGAGGGTGTTCACTTTTTGAGCCAGAGTTACGTACATTTCCTAGCAAAAGACATGGGAAAATCCCAATTGCAAAATTTCCACTTAGGATTAGGGTTAGCTCTCCATGAAATCGTAGAGCAAAATGGACAACACCTTTGGATTCGGATTCTGTCTGTATGGTTAGGAGGGTGTACAACTTTTGAGCCAGACCTATGTATATTTCCTGGCTGGGGAAAATCCCATTCGCAAAATTTCCACTTAGGGTTAGGGTTAGCTCTCCATGAACTCATAGAGCAAAGTTTACATGGCCATTGGATTCAGGGCCCGTCAGTATTGTTCGAAGGGTGTAGAACTTTTGAGCCAGAATTATATACATTTCCAGGCAGAATACATGGGAAAATCCCATTTGCAAAAATTCCACTTAGCGTTAGGGTTTGCTCTCCATGAACTCATAGAGGAAAATGGACCTTGCCATAGGATTTGGAATGTACACAATAGGTACAATATACTTTCCACATTAAATATTTTTCTACTTCCTTTCTTAAAAAGGAAAAGAAGTAGATTTTAGGTGCAGGTAGGTTTTGGATGCAAGGTTTTGGATGCAAGTTCAGTAAATGTCACCGAAAAGGCATTTGCTGGAAAGAGCCATGATTTATCTTCATTACAGTTATCTGTTCACCAGCAAGGCAGAGTATTATATATTTGTACCCAGATATTGAAGCTGGTAGCCAAGCTTCAATGCAATCAAGAAGATATATGGGGCAAAATAGTAGATAGTGTTTTACCGATTTATCATGATTTTACAACAGCTGCTGAATCATAGCTGTAAGTATCCAAAGTTCCTCATGATCTAATATTGTCAGCACATTTGTCTGCAGCACCAATATTTTAAGCTGAATGTTTCCACCATTCCGATCTACAATGAGTTTGAAGTGATCTATTTAATTTTTACCTGGGATGAACAATGACAGAAATAATGTATTTTCAAGAATAAATATTAGTCCTGAAACCTATAGAATTAGAACATACGCTGAGTTGTGATGCTGTTTCCTATTTGAAAAAAATCCTGTCGCTTTTCATCTGCCCTTTGAGGAAGGCAAAATCAGAAAACAGAAATTGTCAGGAGCTTTGAAAAATACTGGGATAAGGATATTATAACAGAAATTTAAAAAGCCTTTTGTCAGCTTATATCTAACCTAATGAAGGTGAATTCTTTTGAGTTTCTTTCTCACTCTCAATCATACAAATCTGAATTTGACATTTTTCAGTAATGGTTTAATATTCCCCTCCCATTTCTGAGTCAAACCCTCATTCTGTCACAAGATAAACTCCCCCATCAAAATCACCCATGTCCTGAAAATGAAGATTGGCCAGACAGCTTACCAAGCTCAATGCACAAGTCTGAGATGGAAAATTTACATGAAATTGGAATATGTGCACAATCCCCAACTGCCCAGCAAGAGCCACTGAATACAAATACATACACTATTCAGAGGATCTTAAAAATTAATACACATTTGAAACCAGAGACTTTTCCATGGAGATTGATGAATGAACAGATAGAAAAACAGTCGTGGAATTTAATAGGTGATGACTGCAGCGAAGACATTTGTTCAGTGGGCTGGGGCAGAGTGGCAGTCCCAGAGCCAGCAAAATCTGAGGTCTGGGCAGGGGACAGAATGTATCAGTGTGGAAGGGATTGCCACTCTCAAATTGGCCTTTTCAGCCACACCAAATGCCGTTTTAGGACCTCTTTCCAGAGCACAATACCATAGTCTTTTGAGACTGAAGGATGCCAATGATGAGAATCAGTGAGTGAAGGGAACGTGCTGAATATAAAGGATAGGGAAGGCCCTCCTTAACAAGAAGAGAGTGGCAAAACACTGTCCATACTTTCATTGAGGTGGATGGTTGCAAACTGACAATCACAGGCTGAACTGGTCTATGACAGTGAAAGAGCTGATAAACTTCAAGTCTGGTTTCTTGGATGAATGGAAGGATAGAAAAAATTCAGCGGAAAACTACAACAAATGCCCACAACAAACTTTATTGACCTGTATGCTCTACTATACATTTCTATGTAGCCTTGGCTAAATCTAGCAGTTCATTTAAATAGTGCTATACCACTTGTCTCGTTCCAAAATTATCCAAAATCAGAGCTTCATGGAACCATGGAGGCAGGACTTTTCAACAGCCAAGATTATCAACATAAACTGCTTGAAGAGGAGACATGCCAACTAAAAAATGCAGAGTTGTTATATGCAAATTCTGCAAATAACAACAAATCAGGCCAATTGTCCTGTTGGTGGAAAAAGTAACAATGCAAAAATTACTCCAGCATCACATTAATCTTCTCTGATTATGTATTCAGTTGTAAATGATGAAACAATGACAAATGAGTACGACTATTTAGAAAGCGAAAGAGGGCTTTCCAGAACCTGGATGTAAATTGAGAGCCATGATCCAAGATGTCTAATTCATGTGTAATCGCCATTCCAAAAGAAGAAGAAAAAATGTGTCCTATTGTTTTTCTCTCCATGTCCTGAAGTTTTATTGTTATGGCAAAGTAGTGATACATCTTCCTTGATAGGAACATATAAATGAACATTATGGGAAAAAAGGGCCTTCAATTAGAGAAATAAAGAAGAATCTATCTATAGCAATTTACTTGAGCCCTGACACATTTTTTGTTGGTGTAAATCAGGAGTGTCAAACTGGGATGGATGCATCACATGGGAAAAACATTGTGAAACATCACATGACGACAACATGATGCTTTGAGTTTGACACCTGTGGTGCAAGTGAATACCATCCAACAGATCTACTGCCTGATTCCATGTCCTTAGCTCCTCTGGAATGCCCCTTCTGAAAGTGAGGTGTAGGATAGGACGAACCTGTCAGATTTCAAGATTGTGGTAGAGGGGAAGCACTGGAAATATCAAGTTCAGGCTTGTGAGATAAGGCATCTTATAGATTATGTGTGTGAGCTGAGAACACAGCTAATATAAAAATTGAAGCTGGAGAAACATTCATGTGAAGAATTGTGATCTGACAGTGAATGAAAATCTTTAAACCGGTTCTTGTGCCTTTCCTTTCATTTGCACACATGGATGCCTTCACACCTCTTCCCGTGTTATCCTTTGTCAGTACTGTAGGCCCTTTAGAGAAGTTACCTTTCCCCAAATAATGAAGTTTTCCCCTCTCCATTCACCATCATTATCATTATTATTTTAATTTGCATTACCAGGGTAATAAATGTCTATTGAATGCTTCATTTATTATTATTTCTTTAATGTTTATCTTTTAGTTATTAAGTTTGTATGCTACCCAACTCCCAATGATTCTGGGTTGCTCGTAACAACTA